CATAAACTAATTAAATTCATACCAAACATTTGTTACCTCATTAAAAAGTACTCTTGGGTTGAAGAAATCCTATTAATTCCTTTAATTCATGTGTAAGGCCCTGGGTTCGATTCTCAGCACCACATAAAAAGAAATAAGTAAAATAAAGATATTTTTTAAAAATATCGCGAATGACTTCTGGCTGGGGGATATCCCAGTGGTAGAGAACTTGCCTACTATATTCAAGGCACTGGATTCTATCCCAGCAGTGCACACACACACAAAAAAAAGCAACACACACACACACACGCACACACAAAAATGACCTTTTTCTCCTTTTGCAGACTCCCCAAGGAAAGATACTATCTGGACTCTTTTGCCTTTAACCACTCTTCTTTGGTCTCTTTTCCTGGAACCTACATCTCTTCCATCAACACCCCTGGCAATGGTGGTTCTCAATCTATTTCTGACTCCATTCACAGACAGGTAATAGATGCCATCAATGATTACCTCTCATAGAACACTCTCCACCAGCCAACACTATTTCTCACGCTAAGAATCATGCCCCATCATTAGGAATACTCCTGGTCTAACACAGATACCTAAAAGCCCAGGTCTCTCTGAGTCTCTGAATTTCTTCTTTCCTCTTGTGGTCTATGATATGGTAATGAACAAGGACTGTGGATTATCACATACAGCTATTCCATGTGTATTCATTTTGCTTCCCCTGACTAGAAAGCAATTACTTGAAGGCAACTCCCTTGCTTTAGTCACCTCTCCAAAGGACAGAGTGTCAAGTATAAAGATACCACTTCAAATATCTTCAAGTATCTTCTAACACTTTCTAGGTACCTGAAATATAGTCAGGAATTTCCAAACCACAGAAACAGAATACTATTTTGCAGGATACTAAAAAAGGATGAGGAGGTTTTATTTAAAAAGTAATTAAGAAATACTGGGTTAAACTAAACTAACAGGTTTATTTTGGGGACTTTTTAGAATCCTTAATCTTACTAATCATGAATCTCAAAGAGCAGTTTTCCCAAATAGGTGTGTAACATACAACACCCTTTCCCATTTTTTACTGTTCATAATCAGCACCTATTAACTTCTCCCTTTCTAAGGAACAAAATTGAGGAAATGCTTATTAAGCAATTAATTATTTTCTCTCACAACTTCTTTATATCCAGTATGATTTCTAACAATATGTTAATTAGTACTGGTTTTGACTCATCCTAACAGCCAGTCTCGGAATCCCTCAATTACCTCCAATTCTATTACATAATACAATTACCAAAAAAAAAAAAAAAAAGATACATCTCAGGATACTTTTAAATTACAAGCTCCCCCATTGCTTTTGAGTAGAACCTCATTTGCAAAATTTACATATAGCATCAGATCAGAAGGGTAAAATTCCATGTTTTTAAAAACAGCAAAAACCTWTGAAAAGGTTTAAGTGACCTGATACCCTCTCAGCAAAACCAAACGTAATACAAATAAAAAAGAATCAAGTGTATTACAAAGAACCAAGAATGAAAGATAAAATATTTTGAAAAACAGGTACCCTATTATTTTCTGAGATTCACAATCCTTACTTTTAACCCCTTAAAGGTTCTAAGCCCCACCCCCAAAAAAAGTGCCACACTGTTACTACTCAAATCTGACTGACCACATGATCTCTTTTTTTTTCAACAATCCAATAAAAAGTTACAAACATGTTAAGTTTTATCAGTATATCTGATTGAAAAAAGAATATCACAGAAACTCAAATCCTTATTCTTCTGCTTCAACATTTTACAAGGTTGAAACAAAATAATCTTTTAGAAAAACTAAACTAGGCAACAAGTAATCACAAGGTAAATTACTTCCCCCCCCCCCCCTACTGGGGATTGAACCCAAGAGCTACATTCCCAGTCCTTTCTACTTTTTTCCCCCCTATTGGGGATTGTATCACTGAGCTACATTCCCAGTCCTTTCTATTCCTTATTTCATTCTTAACAAGACATAACTCTTGCTTAATTACAGAGGGTGGCAAACTTGTGATCCTCCTGCCTCAGCCTTCCAAGTTGCTTGATTACAGGAGTGTATCACTGCACCCAGCCTCAAATATTTAGAAACTTCTAATGTTTCCATCTATTCTCATTTCCACTCAATTTTTCTGACCAAATTTCACTTTGGTGATTAAGCTATGGGAGCAAAATAAAGGCAAACTCTCACTTTCTTAACAGTTAACTTTCAGAATTTACATTATAGAGGAAATAAATTCTGGACCCCACCTGGAATCATGTAAAACTATGGCCAGGGTTATAAACAGGACCTCAGAAATGCCTAAAATGCTGTACTAACTTGTTTCACCCTTATGTAAACCTTTCCTAATCCAGATTTTTTCTTTTCTTTCTTTCTTTTTTTCTTTTTTTTTTTTTTTTAATCTTATAGTACTTTGACACCCTTTTTTCCTGGAACAAGATGAGGAAATGACCTGCAATCAGAATACCAGGCATACAACTCATCATTCAAAAGCAGTTAAATGCCATGAGCACAACAGGGATTAACCAGTTTGCAAATTCACTATTTCACAACTCCAAACTAATTATGTGTTTTACAAAACCACATAGACATAGCAAAAGTATAAGTGATTCTGAAATCAGYTCAACTCTATTAATTTCAGTAAGCTATTTATAGGCATTTGTTTTTATGTGGTTTTTAAAATCAACTCTAAATTTAAACCTGCTCCTCATTTTCAGAAGCTGAAATGAACATAAAGTTAAATATAGGAAAAATATACACTAGTGAGTACAATCCACCTCCTGCTCAGTCCCTTCATGCCAAAGGCCGCAAAGAGTAAGTTTCCCAAGTAGCTTCAATTCTATAACAATTGTACTGCCCTTTAAAAAGTGTTCTGTCTTCTAGGATTAAAGTCTGTTGTAAATTTCAAAATGAAAAGTAAAAATACAATTCTTTTTATTGACAATGGTTTAAGTACATCGATAATTTAAATTCCATTCTGGGGGCTGAGGTTTTGGCTCAGTGGCAGAGCACTTGCCTGGCATGTGTGAGGCACTGAGTTCGATCCTCAGCACCACATATAAATAAATAAATAATAAAGGTACATCAACAACTAAAAAATATTTTTTAAAATATTCCATTCTGGAAATGTCAACACTTTGGGGTAATAAAACAACTCGCAAACATGGAATAAAAGGGTCTAACTTTACTTTTTAACTGTTCTAGGAAAGACACTCRTTAAATTTTTCATAGCGAGTATTTTAAATGGGTGCACATGCAAGTGATAACATGATGTGCGATCCATCACCAGGGACATTTCAGGGCCTCTTACACCAGGGGATCAGATCTAAGCCTACTTCATCAAGTTATTGATTAGCGATGGCTTATGTTGAGACAGGGAGTGGCAGGAAGTAAGACCACATATAATGTCATTGTTGTAGCTCTAGCTAGATTTAGTATCTGTTTTCTATTGGGCCTGCTTGAAAGAAAGAGAATAAAATTAAGGTTTGGTTTTGTTTTTAAAGAATGCAAGATAAGTTCAACACAMGCCACTCGATGTTCTACAGGTTGCCTCACCTGGTGAACCCTTTTAAAGACACCCCCTTCACACCTCGCCTTCCCTTCAGCACTCTTCCTCCTTTTTCCCTATAGGTATTTCTCTCTCCTCTTGGTTCCTTCTATGCGCAAAGGCGCCCCCTCCGGCTCCTGTGACCGCCTCTGGGGCCCGCCCGCCCGCCTCTCAGGTGTCCTCCTCCKGACCACCACTCGGACTCCCGCCCCCGCGACAGCCGCAGCTACCACCGCAGGCATCCCCTTGCCTTATCACCCAGACTTCGTACCCCCGGCACTCCCACTCCCACCCGGCGTCTCTGGCCTCCGCGGCGCCCGCATCGCACCCCAGCACCGCCCCGCAACACGCCCCCCGCCCGCGGCCCCTTACCACACATGCTGCTGGAGGCGCGGTCCGCAAGGCCAAGGGCGGACAGCTAGCGAGATTCCCGGGAGCACACAAGAGCTTCAGGGGCGGTGGACAAGCTCGGGGGCGGGGATGGCGGCGACACGACTCCCTCGAGGATGCGACGGCCGAGGTAACTATAGCCTCCTCGCCCTCCCAGGCTCCGCCAGCAACMGCCGCCGAGCCCCGCCCCTCGGCGCGCAGCGCGCCGCCGCCGGCACTCCCCATTGGGCCGCTCACGCGCCGCTCACGCGCAGATGCCACCCCTCGCGCAGCCCCGCCCCCAGGCCCCACGCAGGCGCTGGACAGCTGGCAGCGAAGACGTGGCAGACTCGTGGCTGCATCCGCCTCAGGTTCCTGGAGCCGCCTCCGGGCGAACAACCCGACCAACCCGGCGGTAGGGGAGGATTGGGCGCCGGCGAGAAATGATAGAAGGAGGAGGATGGAAATGCTAGCAAAGCAAATAACTGCCCAAGCTCCGAATACTGGCACCCCACGAGGCAGGAATGAGGAGAAAGAAAGCAAAAGACTTGGAAAGGAGATCGTGGGAGAGAGACAAGTCAGGGTGGGTAAAGGATATATAGCTGAGGGAAAAACTGCAAATAATTGGAAGAGGTGAGGAGAGGAGAGAGAGGTACCAGAATTCTTGACTGCAAATCGCCATTCAGGTTCGGGCAGTCTTTCTGGTGACAGGCCTTTCAATTCCCAACTTAAGATCTGAGTAATGTGCTTGACCTCTAAAAGCCCTCCCTACCCATCCATCGCTTCCCTAATCCTCAGTTTATTTCGGAGAGAGGAGGAATGGCAGGCTCAACTTTCCAACACTCTGCGCCTGGACTTAAGAGAGCTGGCCCTACTCTGCTGGCCCACCTGAGAGGACTGGAAACTGGCCATCAGCACGTTTGACTCATGAACTTTTAGTCCTATAAATTAATATACCATCATTCCTGCCAAGAGAGACTGGATTAGAGAGGAATGTTTCTGAAAAATCATTACCTGCGCGTTTGCTTCAGGAAGATTTAAATGGTATCTTTAGTCAAATGTAGATAGTTATCAGATTTCTATTAATAGCTCTAGACTAGAATCACATCAACTTACATGGCACACAGAAACCTGGTGTTCTGACCACGGTTGAGGCAGCCCTATACACTCCAAGAGGCTGAACATGTAGTTCTCCAACTGGACCAACAATTCTCAGTTCTTTTGCACATTTGGGTTACTCTACTGGAGTCCCACACACACACACACACACCCCATAACTGTTTAAAGGTTGCCTCTTCAAGGAAACCTTTTTTTTCCCCTCCCCAAACATAGAGACATGACTTAAACACTGATTCTTTGAGCTGCCACCTTTAAAGCAACATGTTTCTATATTTTACGATTCTTTTAATATCTCCTCACTAAGCTACAGAAGTTTCTTGAAGTTAGAATAAGTGTATAGCCAACAACTAGTATAGACTCTACCAAGAAGTAATGGATGGAAAATGTTTTTTGAAGTAGTGAAAAAAAATGTCATCTTAGCAGAATTGATCTTTCACAGCTAGTTATAGAATCAAGTGAGCAAAGGACTTTCAGTTTTTCTTAAGGGAAAAATGCCTTTTCATCACTTGCCTCAGAGAATCTAGAAGAACAAAATTGACCATATTATATTGTTATATTGTGTGCATGTACAAATATGTCAAAAATGAATCCCATAATTATGTATAATTATAATGCACCAATAAAAATTGTAAAAAGGAGATAGACTAGAAAATGTCACATTTAACTAGCAAAGTGTTTCTCAACTAAAAGCCCTTTGTTATTTCAAGTCCTTAAAGACAGTCCCTAAATGAGTCATACAACCAACGTGGCAAATGCCCAGGAGGGTCACAAGTTCCACATCAGCCAGAGCAACTTAGAGAGACCCTGTCTCAAAATAAAACATTAYACAATAAAGGACTGGACATGTAGCTCAGAAGCAGAGCACCCCTGGACTTAATCCCCAGTACTGAGGAAACAAAGGAAAAGATAAATCTCTGTTTTTGTTTTTAATCTGAAGACCTCCCCTTCCTGTATTGGGGATTGAACCCAGGGGTGATCTGCCTCTGAGCTACATCCCCAGCTTTTAATTTTTTTTATTTTGAGACAGGGTCTCACTAGGTTGCTTAAGGCCTTGTTAAGTTTCTGAGGTTGTTCTGGAACTTGTGATCCTCCTACCTTAGCCTCCTGAGTTTCTGGGATTGCAGGCATGCACCACAACTCCCAGTGGCAATACATTTCTTAATTCAAGAAACAAAGTCTCTGTAGACATACATCTTAGCCTAAGAACCCTCATCTAAAAGTTTCTGGCAAGATTTGGATGAGATTGCCGAAGACTCAAGGTGTTGTTCCAATGCTTAAGCAATATCTTTGTCCACTGGCAGAAAAGCTATTGACACCAGCTTGCCACTAAAGTTCTCAGGTTCCCAACTATTATATTCTATAGAACCTCTTGCTTTCTTCTTGCCTGATACTCTCTCACAATGACTTACCAGTCTGTCCTATGCATCTCTATACTACAGCTGTTTTGGAAATTGCTTATGTAACAGTTGAAAGGAAGAAACTTTAAAGACTAATATTTACCCAACCCAGCCTTAAACAACATCACTAACACCATAACAAAGAAACCTTTGTAACTGTGGGCCAGTCAAGACACTGAAACAGAAGAACTTTGTCTAACCCTCAGCTATATGGAGCTCTGCCTTAGGTATTTTGAGAATAAAGACAGAAGAGAAAAATAAATGATACATGAAGGAAAGGGGACATCTGGGTCTAATTTGAACATCTGAGAAAATGGAAAGGATTTTCTCTCCTAATCAAAAAGTTCAGAACTAACTTAACTTAAAAAGGATAGTAATGACATATCATTCATCATTTCTTTATGGAGGTACATTTCCCTATTCACATATTTAGTCCCATCAGATTCAATGGCTATCAGTGTCCTCCTTGCCATGAAGCTTGATGGGTTGAAGGATGGCTGGGCTTCCGGTTGCCATTTCTAAAGAATCAAAAAACTATAGTTGAAATAGCTTGAGGTTTTTAAACATCCCCATGTTTGTGATTTTTGTAACCCTCTGTCTTCATTTCTAATAAATACCAATAGCTATTAAGACAAAAAAGGCTTGTATGTAATAAAAATATGAGGAGCTAGGACGCCTATGTCCCAATCTTAGGGAATTTTGTAGAAATATATCCAATGGACAGAAAAGATGGTGGCACGTACCAAAGGGAAAAAAAAATAAGTTGAGCCCCTGAGGCCTATGAGAAGGAAAAAAAAGACAAGAAAGAAAGGCACCCACATGAGTGAACCACTGTTATTCCACCATGGCTACAATTCATCCTGAGTACCTTCACACAAGAGGAACCTTTCAAAAATACAAATCGGACCTTATTTCACCCTGCTTCCCATCCAATGGGTACCTTTCCCCTTTAAGAGGCATTCCAGACTCCTGTGGATATCTACACAGTTATTCAGGATCTCACTCCTGACAGTTTTATTAGTGTCATCCCCTACCACGCTATTTCAGCATCTTGTTGCCCAACTCTACTAAACTCCTGCAAGTTCCTGAAAAAAAAAAGAAAAAAAGAATACCATCTCCAACTTCTAGGGCTGGGATTGTAGAGTGCTCACCTAGCATGTGCAGGGGCCCTGGGTTTGATCCTCAGCACCACATAAAAATAAATGAATGGAATAAAGGTATTAAATTAAAAAAAATTATTTATTTATCTTTACATTTGTCCTTTTTGGAAAAAAGCATTAAAAAGGAACAGACTTTCCTTAGCTGCCACCGCAGTGATTTATCCTTCTGAGAAAGCTAAGGATATACTGGGTGAGACCCTCTCCTCACTGAAGTAACACTGAGCATACCCTCACCATGGCCTTCATTCCTGAACTTGCCTGCATCTAGCCCAATCTCATCCTTCATGGAGAAGAATATTAAAAACAATGTCGTAATTAAAACATCTGGTGGGGCTGCGATTGTGGCTCAGCGGTAGAGTGTTTGCCTAGCATGAGTGAGGCCCTGAGTTCGATTCTCAGCACCACATAAAAAAAATAAAAGAGGTATTGTGTCCAACAACAACTAAAAATAAATAAATAAATAAATAAATAAAATAGCTGGTGTAAATTTTGGACCTTTTGGGCCTGGCTTGTTTGCAAAGGCCCAGGCCAATGTCGACATCAGGAGCCTCATCAGCAATGTGGGGGCTGGTAGACCTGCTCCAGCAGGAGGGCCTGTCCCCACCACCATCACTGCTGCTCCAGCTGAGGAGAAGGAAGTGGAAGCAAAGAAACAAGAATCTGAGGAGTCTGACGATGACGTGGGATTTGATCTTTTTAACTAAACCTCTTTTGTAACATGTTCAATAAAAAGTAAAATGTGGAGCAGAGAAGGAAAAACAAAAAGGAGAACCAGGTATTAAATGGCTGGGGTTTGACTATACAAGGACTGGATAGCCACCCACAAAATGACATTATAAGGCAGCCAGAAAATTTCCTTGTCAAAAATTGTCTCCATTCCCTACCCATTACATTGCCTTAACTCTACYTGTCCATGTGCATTTAATACAGAACACTCCCACGACTTAATGACTATACTGATTCAACATAAACTATTAACACAGTAAGTAGTTTAATAAATAATAGAGACTATTTATAGGGTTACCTTTTATTTGGATAACAGTTGTGAAAAGTTTCCTGGGAAGTGGGGGTTGTAATAGGGATAAGATAAATATAATTCTAAAATCAGGAGTAGAATTGAACAGACTACTTTGGGCAAGAAAGGGGCAATATAAGGATATGTGGAACTGAATATGGTGATGGGGAACAAGATATGGAAGAAGGAATTAGAAATTGTTGATGAAACAAACTTTATTCATTGTAATTGCTAATTTTATGAGTTAACATGGCTGGACCACTGTGCCCAGATATTTAGTGAAACATCACTCTAGATATTTCTAGAAGAATGCTTTTGGATGAGCATGGCTTTAAATTAGTGGGTTTTGAGTAAAGCAGACTGCCCTCCATATTGTGGATGGGCTTTATACAATCAGTTAAAGGACTGAATAAGATCAGACTGAACTCTCTCAAGAAAAACAAAAACAAAAACATTGTCAGCAAAWAACCTCTGGGTTTGAGCTAAAGCATGCAACAGTGGCTCTTCCCT